TCCCTCCCCCTCCGCATCCCCCTTTCCCCCTCCCCCACCCCCCCATCCCCAATTTCCTCCATCCCCCATCCCCCATCCCCCCATCCCCCTATACCCCAGGCTCTCAGATCCAGGACCCTTCCCTCCCCCTCTTCCCAACCAGCCCCCTTCCTCCCATCAATCATTCATTCCCCTTTGCAGAGCCCTGTTCAGGGAGGGAGGGAGGGAGGGCCAGGTGAGCAGGTCACCTGGAGCATCTTGCTCACCTGCGACCTCTGCGACCGCGCCTGAGAGCCCACGCAGCCAGTGAGCTCCGGGTGGTGCTGAGGCTGCAGGCGGCCGCCGCGTGCCAGGAACAGGCGGTGGCAGAGCCAGGCCCAGGGCGTGTGCGCGGGTCTGGCCAAGCAAGAGGGTCGCAAGGGGCCCTTCCCACGGGCGGAGGACGCCTGGAGGGTTTAGTTGAGGGTGAAGCTGTCCCCAGGGCTGGATCTGGCAGCTGAGCCAGGAGGGGAGAACCAGGAGGCGGCTGAGCGGGGCTTGGTGACGGAGAGGAGGCACGAGGAAGGAGAGAAGAGAAGGGGCAGGCTAGAGGGGCGTTGGGATGGGATGGAGCCGACCCCAAGGCCAACTGGACGCCAGGGAGTGAAGAGGGGTTAAGGGTGACCCCAGCAAATACCCCGCAATGCTAGACACTGACCCGTTCCAACCAAGTCTTGCTGATTTTGTCTTGATTTTCAATTGATTCCCATTCAATCCTGGCAGTGGTGTTTAATGCCCAGTGAAACTCATAGGTAGGTGAATGAATGGGGGGTCCTGGCTTGGATCTGGGCACAGAAAAAAAGAAGAAGAAACTAGTGAAATCTGAATAAAGTCTGTGGTTGAGATAATGATATGGCACCGTGTTAATTTCTTAGTCTTGACCACCCTCATGTGAGAGTTTAACATGGGGACACTGTTGAAGGGCATTTGGGAATGCCCCACACCATCTTTGCAACTTTTCTGACGACCTGTTTATTCCAAAATTTTAAAAGTTTATTTTTCAAAATGTTAAGGAGGAAAAAAAGTAAAAAAAGACAAAAATGATGGAGACTTCCAGCTCACACAAGAGAGTGAATTGGAGAACGCTAAAGCTTTCCTCTGTGGCCACACAGAAATGTCCTGTGAATTTTTACAAACACCCTTTTAAAGTTAGGCTGGGCCACGTGTGGGGGTGCACACCCGGAATCCCCGAGACTCGGGAGGCTGAGGCAGGAGGATCACAAGTTGAAGGCCAGCCTGGGCAATTTAGTGAGACCCAGTCTCGAAATAAAAAATAAAAAGGGCTGGGTAGAGCACCCTGTGTTGCAAACCTGTACTGCAGAAATAGAAATAAATGTAAAGACAATGAAGTTTAGGTTGGGTATCTAAGAAAAGAGGGGGTGTTTGGGGGTCAGAGACAACGAGATGAAGAGGAAGCAGTGGCCATCTGTCCTGAGTGGCACCGTCTCCATAATTCAGGGGCTCCACACACGGGGAGGGGTCAAGACCTAAGAAGAAACAGAGAGAGATACTCCAAAGAGAATCTCTTGGAAGTTTGGAAATGGTGCCGCCTTGGGACTATTCATACCAGAGTCAGCCAAGAATCCAAGGGGTTGAAGCAAAGAGGCCCAAAGGAACCCTGCAGAGGGTTACATAAATTACTTTGAAACAACAACCCTTGGCTATGAGGATTAGCAACAAGGGTGGCCTAGGATTGGACATGCAGATGCTGGGCAGGTATTTTTACCGTGAGGTTGTGGGGACCTTGGTGAAGAGCTGTGGTCCGGCGTCATCTTTAGTGATACATGCCTAAGCCACCCTCCTTGGTCACCTCCTGGCAGCTTCTCAATCTCAGTTCTATGGACCGTTGGGGTCAGATTATCCCAGTGTGGGGAGCTGTTCACTGTAGGTGTCTAGCAGCACCCCTGGCCTCTACCCCTTACGGGCCACTAGGGCCACCTCCCCCCAGCTGTGACAACCAACCATGTTTCCGGGCATTGTCTTCTGGGGGTTGAAATATCCCCTAGTTGAGAATCACTGCACAAGGGTGGCCGACCTTTCCAGTTTGCTGGGGCTTGCAGGGGTACCTGGGATCGGTGACTTTTGGCTTTAAAATTGGGACAGTCCTGGGCACAGTGGAATGGGTGGGCCACCCTATTTCCAACTCTACTATAGAATGACACCAACTTTTTGTTGTGGTCCTGGAAATTGAACCCAGGGCCTCAGGCATGGTAGGTAAGTGCTGTGCCAGTGAGCTTCACCCCAAGCCTGATAATCTGGGTGTTTAAGATTCCCAGGTACCTTCAGATGGGTGGGACTGGGGAACCAGTGGTTTGATGTTGTACTTCGCATTGATCATTCCAACCAACCCAGACAAACCCGGTCAAGTTCTCACCACTGAGTGTCCTTGCCTATAAGTGACAGGTGGAAGGAGAATGGGAATGATCTTCAGCTTCTCGTCCATGTTATGGGGAGAAGCCGCTCCCTAAGTAGACCCCAGGGAGTGAGTCTGTTGAGTCTGTGCAGTAGGCAGTGCCCCGAAGTCCCCACAGGGAGCTCTTCCACACCCACCATTACAAGAGTCCTTGACCCTCTCAGCATATGCCACTAGGAGGTGAAGTCCTCCTAGTCCATTGAGAGAAGAGGAGACGGAGACCCAGAGACAGGGAGAGACAGCTGAAGACTCTGGCCATGCTAAGCAGAGTTCTGGCCCCCTTTGCTCTGCAGAAAAAGGATCAAGAGCAAATTCCAAAATCACCTGGTTCCAGTTTTGATCCTGACACGTGCAGAAAGACTATTGGCCAAGACTGGCCAAGAGGGTGGGGTTCACCAGGACCAAGGGGCACAGCTGCTGGAGTGCAGGTTTGGGTCCAGTTTGGGTCCCTGAGAAAGCCCAGCGTCTCTGACCAGTCCTGAGAAGGATGGCCTGGAACCTGCCTGCTTAGCTAGCCCTCTTGATTAAAGTGGCTGTCCCTTTCTGTCCCCAGAGAAAGCACCCAGAGGCACATACTCGCCTAGACACACACGCTTTTGGTTTTGCATTTGATCTCAGCAATTTCCAAGAGCCTTGCAGCTAATCACTAATAATCATGCTATCAAGGAACAAGCTATGTATGCCAGCACCTCCACGAATTTATTTAGCCCAATAGATAGGCTCAATAAAATGAACCATTCTCAGCCCAGTTGATTTCCCACAGTGAAGCATGATACACACTTTTCAAACAAAGGCTTTGGAGTGGAGAGGGCAGAGTTCAAGTCCCTGCTCTGCCACTTAATTACAGGATGACTCCACTCTCGAGGCCCCCATTCAGTGTGTGTGTGTGTGTGTGTGTGTGTGTATGCTGAATACGTCATAGATGCTCAGTGAATGTCACCCACTGCTTTAGGACTCCATCAGCTTGGCTCGTCACTGTAGTGGCTTGCAGGCAGATTCCACATGGCTGGATAGGAGGGACCCCAGGGGTCATCTAGTTGGACAGCCGAGAAGAAAAGGAATGTTCCAGAATCTCACGGCAACTCAGGCATAGAGCTGGGGCTAGGACTCTGGTTGGGCAGCCCAGGCTAACAAATCCCCCCACTTGTCTGGGCTCCCTGCACGCCCTTGAAAATAGCCATCCATCCCAGTGTGGGGAAGATTCTCGACCTGTCTGCCTCTCCTAGTCAGTCCCCTTGAGTGGTGATTTCCAGGGAAAAAAAAAAAAAACCTCTCCTAAAAGCTTCCGAGGGGCTGAGACTTGAGAGAACGTTATTATCTCCAACATGGGTCCCTTATGCGTTGCTCTGCCGCGTTACCAGCAAATTCTGAAACCCCAGTCACTTAATGGGCAGAAGATATAAATAGCCCTTAGCTGTAGCTGTCAATAAATGCGGGGAGATGTGCACCCTCACCAGGGAACCCAGAACTGCAGATCGAAGCAAGATACCATCTTTTTGCTTATAAAATTTGCAAAGATGGCCATGAAAATAATGACACTGGGCTCTGGTCGGGGCAGAGGGAGACGAGCCCTCGCAGACGTGGCCTGTGGTAGTAAGAATTGCTTTCAGGAGGCAATTTAGCAAATTGTATCAAAGCCTTCCAAATCTCTCAGAAAATCATCAGAAAGGCTGAAAAAGCTTTATGCACAAGGCTGCTCACCTTGGTGATGTTGTAATCGTTTTTTTTTTTTTTTAAGGAAGAAATCTAATTATTCCCAAATGAGAGAATCATTAAATAAACTCTAGAAGGGCCACTCGGGAGAGCATCTAAGAGCTATTTAATGTTTACAGAAAGGTATCCTGATGGGGGAAATGCTGATACTCCTTAATTTTTAGAAAACAGAATCCTGTCCTATATCCATATGATCACAATTGCATTAAAAACTATCACTGTGTACGAACCCGACAGAATGGAAATGTGCCCAAGAATCCACTTTTTCCAAGTTTGAGAGTGATATGTTCCTTCAAATTTTTTTTTTTAGCTGTAGATGGACACAGTACCTTTATTGTGTTTATTTATTTTTATGTGCTGTTGAGGCTAGAACTCGATGCCTCACACGTGCTAACCAAGAGCTCTACCACTGAGCCCCAGCCCCAGCCCCATAAGTTACTCTTATTATTTTGAAAAATTTAGGCACTCAGCTCGTAGCAGCCAGGAAGCAGCAAAAGAGCAGTAAGTTCTCCATCCCCAAGGGGACACTCCCAATGACCCACTTCCTCCAGCCACGCCCCACCTGCCTACAGGTACCACCCAGGAATCCATTCCAATTAATAATCCATCAAGTGGATTAATCCACTGATGAGGTTACAGATCTCATGGTCCAGTCATTTCCCCTCTGAGCATTCCTGCATTGCCTGACACATGAACTTCTGGGGGTACCTCATATCCAAACCATCACAGGCAGACACCCACATTTATCGTGACGGGGCACCTGTTATTTCCATTGTTGAAAAAATACGTAATAAATCATGGAAACAACTTGAGCACCACCAACCTTTCTTCTGGTCCATTTTCTCTCTGTCCCCAGCCCTGCCAGAGCTGCCTCAGACGTCCCTGTGTCCCCTGTTCTGGATGGAGTTCAAAGGCCACTGCTATCGATTCTTTCCTCTCAATAAGACCTGGGCCGAGGCTGACCTCCACTGTTCCGAGTTCTCCATCGGCAGGAAATCCGCCAAACTGGCCTCCATCCACAGGTGAGTGGACCCCCCCCCGGCCCCGCTCGGTCCTCCACGGTCCAACCAAGGTCCCCCGTGGGAAAGGGAGTGGAGGATAGGGTCTCCCACTGGTTTTTCTCTTTGATCATTAAAGCTACTCTTTATCCAGCCCAGTTTCTCACTGAATTCATCCTTGGCTGTCGAGGGCAAAGCATTTAGCAGCAGTAGCCAAGAGCACATTGGAAGACCTCTCTTTATAAATGCCCGTCTTGTCCACTCTGCTCTGCTGTGGATCACAGGCCCGTGACGCCACTGACATAATATACGGATAAAGAACACGATGCACGGACCACAGGGAATCAGAGCTGGATTTTATTGGATATGGGTTCATGTACCTTATCACATAAGGACTCCCTGGTTTTAGGTAGATATTCTCATCTTATAGAAAAGGAACCCAGAAAGGTAACTGACTCGTGCAAAGTTGCAAAGCTATGAAGTGTGGAACTGGGTTCTCTTTTGTTTTTAGGGGGTTCGGGCTGCATTGCATCACTCACCCACCAAGGCCTCCCTCCCTGTGTCTCCCAAGCCCCAGACACACTGGCCACCTGGTCCTCCAGCCTGGTCCAGCCCTCCCAGTTCTCCTCGCCTTTGCACATTCTGTCTCCTCTGCTGGGGAGCCCTTCCCTCCCTACCTCCTCCTGCAGGTCAAACACCCCCTCCACCCCCAGGGTAGCTCCGGAAACACCCCTTCACTAGAGCCACCTCTGACTCCCCGGCCCCTAGTCCCATTCATTACCCACCCTCCCCCCAGAGCACGTCTCTCTGCACAGTTCAACAACAGCTTTCGGAGATGGCCTCCGGCAGATCTGTGACTTTTTCGGAGCAGGTGCAACAGGTCCCCTTGGCTCTCAAACTACAGACTCTCCATCTGGCCTCTGTTCTTCATGGATCTCAGAGACTTAAAGTTAGAGAGAGCGTTGGTGGGTTCCACTTAGACACTGTTGGTGGGACTGTAAATGAGTACAACCACTACGGAGAATGGAGGTTCCTCCAGAGACCCGGCCTGGGACCACCATGAGACCCAGCCACACCACTCCTTGCACTCTATCCAAAAGAAGTTAGGTCATCACACGATAGAGACGCACGCATGCCAGAGGTGACAGCAGCGCAATTCACAAAGCCAAGTTATGCCACCAGACGAGGCACCCACCAGCAGATCAATGGATAAAGGAAACCTAGACTGTAGACAAAAGGGAGTTTTACTCGACCATAAAGAAGAATGGAACTATGTGGTTTCAGTTCAATGAATGAAACTGGAAAACATCAGGTTAAGGGAAATAAATCAGACACATAAAGTCCAGGGTCACATATTTTTTCTCATATGTGGAAGCTAGAGAGGAAAAAGGGGAAAGGGGACCTCATGAAAATAGAAGGGAGACACAATAGAGGAAGAGGACGGGGGGCAGGCAGGAGGGTGGGAAGGGGAAATGCTGAGCAATGAAATTGACTAAATTATGAGCATGTATGAACATATCACAATGAATTCCACTATTTTGTACAATAATAATGTACCAAGAAAGGGCATTGTTACCTTATGTCTTAGGGTCACTGTGTTTTGTTAATGGAGAAGCCATCCTTAGTTTCCAAATGACGCTTGAACCACTGTCTTAGTTCATGCTGTGCTGCTATGACAAAATACCTGAGCCTGGGTCATTTATAATGAACAGTTGTCACAGTCCTGGAGACTGTGAAGTCCGAAAGCAAGGCACCAGTGTCTGGTAAGTGCTCTTGTGCTAGGTCATCCCTGGGCAGATGTCAGAAGGGGAGGGAGTACAGAAGACACAAGAAATTAGGCCAATCAGCTTGGCTCTTCACTGTAGTGGCTTGCAGGCAGATTCCACACTGACCTTTAAAAGACATGGGTCTCTAAAGTTGATACTCCATCTAAAGTTCTCACGCAGGGCTTGCCCAACTCACAGGCTCCATGCAGGAAACTGCTGTCATTTTCATTTATGATCATTCTAGGGACCTCAGAGAGATTTTATCTCCTTAGCATTTCCATGTCAGGCCGTCTTTCCAAGGGATGCAAGTGAGTCTTACCTCCCTCTCCTCTCCAGTTCAATAGTATCCACTAAGCAACTCTTGTACACGTGACTTCTTGGAGGGCCGTGTTCAGGATTCTGAGAGCTGCTAACCGAGAACGGATTAGCAATGACTTCCACAAGCACAGAACTAAAAAGAGGACACATGTGCACTTTTAGGTGTCACCCACGCCTCAAGCAAAAGGAAATATTTTCATAGTGGACGTTCTAGGCAAGATGGCCGCCTTTAGAGAGCCGTCACAACAACAAGGTCACTAATCAGAGCCCATAGACCTTGTTGCAACAGGGGGTCCCTCAACATAAACCTGTTTGAAGTGACTTATTGGTTACGTGTTAGCTCTATTTTATGATGACTTATTGGATGATAATGGGAATCGTTTATTCAGTCGGATCTGCCTGTCTGGGTCTGTAAACACTTTGAGTGACATGTACCGATACTCACCCACTTCTGCTCACATCCTTCACCCACCCTTCTAACTTCTACAAATGACCATTAATGGGCTCGCTGATATCCGGGGAACTGGGTGAGTTCCCAAATTTCATGTCCACACCTGGCTTCAACCCAAGGAGGAAGGGCGGTGGGGAAAACTGGGCCTCTCCCACACCTCCCTCCTTTCATTGATACCCTCTACGAACATTTCTATCCAAGTGGCCGAACTTGGCCCTCTGGCCATTGCTGGCTGCAAAGGAGGCTGGGAAAATAAAATGTGACTTCCTAAAGGGATGAGGAGTGACTGTGGGGTGTTCAGCCAGTGATGTCTGCCCCAGTTCCTGCCTTGTGCAGGGATTTGTATAAAACCAAGAGAGCAGTTGGCATGAATCAACGCTCGAGTCTCTATGTGCCTGTTAGCTGTCTGTCCTTTCTATCTGTCCAGCCATCTATCCGTCCTTCCATCCTTCTACCTATCCATCCACCCACCCATGCTTCTGCCCACCCACCCATCTCTATTTCTTTTTTCTTCTTGGCATCAATTTCTTTTTGGGGGCTGAACTATTTGGTAAGCCCTTTGAAACAGGAACTGAGAAGGCCCCAAGGAGACACGGATGCCTTTAAAGGAAGTTGGGCTGTTTTCACTGCAGGGACTGGTTTTGCTGAGTGGGCTGTGCAGATTCTAGCCTAGGGATGAACTGCCCAGGTAAACAGAAAAGAATCTGGAGACGATATGTCAGAAAAAGAAATTATTTTTTCTGAGCCTGGGTCTCCCTATGTTGCCCAGGCTGGCCTCAAACGCTGGCCTCAAACGCTGGCCTCAAACGCTGGCCTCAAACGATCCATCCTCCTGCCTTAGCTTCTAGAATGAAAGCACATCTTGCTGCCCCTGGTTCATGTGGGAATAGAGTAGAAGAGAGAGGGCGCTATACGCACTGGCAGGGTACAAAAGTGGCCAGGGGAGATTTCAATAAGTTACTTTATGTGGACATGCAATCCCCGGGGATTGAACCCAGGGGCGCTCAACCACTGAGCCCCATCCCCAGCCCTTTTTTTATATTTTATTTAGAGACAGGGTCTCGCTGAGTTGCTTAGGGCCTCATTAAGTTGCTGAGGCTGGCTTTGAACTTGTGACGCTCCTGCCTCAGCCTCCTGATTGCTGGGATGACAGGCGTGCTCTACGCCCCCCCACACCTTCAATGTCGCTTTTAACGTAACCCCCCCCCACCGCTGTCTGCTAGCGTTTCTTAAATGGATTTAAATTTTTAGAAGAGAAGATGGGAGGGGAGGGGAGGGGGGATAGTTGAGGATAGGAAAGGTAGCAGAATACAACAGTTACTAATAGGGCATTATGTAAAAATGTGGATGTGTAACCGATGTGATTCTGCAATCTGTATTTGGGGTAAAATTGGGAGTTCATAACCAACTTGAATCTAATGTATGAAATATGATATGTCAAGAGCTTTGTAATGTTTTGAACAACCAATAAAAAATAAATAAATAAATTTTTAGAAGAAAAGCAGGCCACATACGGGCGACCTAATTAAGAAAGCAGGCTTCTTTGGTGCAGAGAATCTAGCGAGCACCGCCTTCGCTTTTCACCTCCACCCCCAGAGCCCAGGTAGGACTCACGCGCGCGCCCCTCGTTTCTTTCACTCACAGCTGGGAGGAGAACGTCTTTGTGTATGACCTGGCCAACAGCTGTGTGCCCGGCATCCCGACGGACATCTGGACGGGCCTTCACGATCATCGACAGGTGAGAGCAGGCCAGCAGGCTCCCGGGGGCTCTGACCAAGGCTCCTTTTTATTTAGCAAACCCTCCCCCGTGGGCCAGGCTCCTGCTGGGTGACACGGTGTAGAGAGAAACCAGACACCGCCAGGCCACAGATGGCCGAGGATCCGTGTCACAGAAGGGGATATGACCGCACAGTCTGGTCAGAGAAGGCCTCTGAGTTCTTGGCACCAAGACATGAGAGGGTACAGAGCTTGTGGAGGGAAGGTGGGTGAGATATAGAGCAGGTGGCATAGGGGACAACACTGTGGACCTGAGACCCCTGGATGCAGAGTGGAGGGGGAGGAGCTGCCACCACAGCACAGTTCTGAGGTCTTGGCTAGGCCGGTGGGGAGTCCCCAACTGGGCCAGCGTTAGTCCCCCGGGTCTGCCGAGTCACTGCCTGGGAACAGCCTGGAGGAGTGTAGCCAGCAGAGGCAGAAGGCTGCAGCTATCAATCATCTGCCCCCTACAGCTGGGCTTTCTGCTGTGCACAGCCCGGGGCCACAGCAGCCTCTGGGCAATGGTTTAACAGATCAGTCGGAGCAGCCAGAGACAGAGATTCCAGGTAGGGGGGCGGCACGGGCCAAGGTCCTGAAGCAGGAGAGCTGAGCACCTTCAAGGTTGTTAAGGAAGATGAGTGTGGCTGGAGGGCGGCGTGGGGCGGGGTGGGCAGAGTGAAGGGGGAGGGGGAATAAGGCTAAGGCTGACGAGGTGACTCAGGCTGTGTCCCCTGACTGGGATGGTCACCGCAGACCCCGCCTGAGATCCATCCCAGGCTTTCCCTGGGGATGGCAGGGGGCTGTTTTAATGGTCTTGCCCTGTCTTGGAGCTCAATAGGGAACCGAGTTCCGGGTCCAGCTCCTGACTTTTATTGTGGTGGGTAGATCTTCACCCACCTGAGATGGAACTTACTGGTGGTTAGGAGACACTGGACTTTTTAAATACTTCTCTTAGCCTCAGTTTTTCTGTCTGTGAAACGGAGATAATAGTGCCTTGTTTTATAAAGTAAAGGAGCTAATGCACGTGAAAGGCTTAGCATGGTATTTGCCACAGCACAGGAGCCCATGAAGGATGGTGGAAATTGCTGCTAAAATAGAGAAGACGCCGCGGGGCTGGAATTAGTATAAATATATATTTGGGGGATTACTGGGGATTGAACTCAGGAGCACTCAACCACTGAGCCCCATCCCCAGCCCTATTCTGTATTTTATTTAGAGACAGGGTCTCACTGAGTTGCTTAACACCTTGCTTTTGCTGAGGCTGGCTTTGAACTTGAGATCCTCCTGCCTCAGCCTCCGGGGCTGCTGGTAATACAGGCATAAGCCACCACGTCCAACAGAATTAATCTGAATTAATCAGAATTAATCTGTCAGGAACCCATATAGAAGTTCTAACTTAAAAAAAAAACACCTAAAATTCCTAATTTTGATAGCAACATTAAAGTTAGACAATAATTACATTAAATTGGAGTTTAAGGAACTCGTATTGTAAGACCTGATAATCATAACAAACAATACAGGATAAAGGATTGTGGGGTTTTGTTTTCTCTTTTCTTTTCATGGCTGTGTTAAGCTCTGTGTTAAACCCTTCCCATCCTTGAATCCATCCAACCCTCACAACCACTCTCTGGAGGTAGTAGCTCCATTATAGAGGTGCGTAAATTGAGACTCAGAGAGGTTGATTAACTTGTCCAGGTCACAGAGCTAGGAAGTGGATAGAGGAAACGCCAACTCCAGCTCAGTCTCAACCCCTCTCTCTCCCCGCACCACATCCCAGGAATAACACACAATTTCCATGACGTAAAAAAACGAGCTCCATGATCATCGGTGTTGGTGGGGGTTAGTTTTCTAAAAAGCTGAATGGAGAAAGGGCTCCTGTTCTTACACACTGCAGAGAAGTCTTTCTTTCCACAGTTAATTTGCACATTTATTGTAGCATCAATCAAATTCCCAACAGGACTTTTCCTACAATTGGACAGAGTAGTTCCACACCAGGAAAAAATAATGATGCAGACTATCTGGACCCACACAGACGAGGAGGGCCTGCCACACGCGAGTCCGTTGGGGTCCTGGGCACTGGAGCCGCGTGGGCAGAGCTGGGATTGAACCCCAGGGCTGCTGCCTCATTCCCTGTGGGCAGCAGGTGACCCCCGAGTCTCATTGCGCTAGCCACGGTGGCGGTGATCTACTGCAGGAGCACCCGATGAGAAGTGGGGGCGTCTCTGCAGAGGTGGAGGGGAGGAAGATGCTAGAATGCTACCCCAGCTGGAGCTGGACAGACCCCTGAGTGCCCTCTCCTTGCCTGGCTCCCTCCCTCCCTGTGGGCCCCAGGAAGGGCAGTTTGAGTGGACGGACAACTCCTCTTACGACTACAGCTACTGGGACGGCAGCCAGCCAGATGATGGGGTCCACGCGAGGCTGGAGGAGGAGGACTGTGTGCAGATGTGGTACCGGCCGGCCAGTGGTGGGTGTCCCCGAGACTCACAGAGGCGCTGGGGAGGGGCCCCGCAGCGGGAGGTGGGGGGGGGGGCAGCTGGCAATGTTTCAGCACCTTGGAGAGCGACCAGAGGTCCCTGGGGGGCCAGGGGCAGGGCCACTCTCCCCAGTAGGCACAGTTAAAATGATATCTAAGGCGTCATCACTGGCAGCAGACCCTGTTGTGCCTGCAGAGACATTAGGGAGAGGCACCCGGGAGAAGAGCTGCCCCAGCCCCGCCTGGCCCTTCTGAATATCAGCGCTGAGCGGCACCTGCTGCAGGCAGTGCAGAGCTGGGCTTGGACTTAGGCTCTGTCACCTTCTAGCTCTGTGTCCTCGCAGGGAATCACACACCTCTCTGCAGCTGTTTCCTCCATCTTAAAGTGGCCTTAATACATTCCTGCATCCTGGACCCTTAAGGGGATTGAGGGAGGTACAGCTGATACAGCTCAGGAGGCTGAGGCAAGAGGATGGCAAGTTCGAGGCCAGCCTCAGCAATTTAATGAAGCCCTAAACAACTTAGGGAGACCCTTTCTCAAAATCAAAATCAAAAAGGGCTGGGGATATGGCTCAGTGGTTAAGCACCCCTGGGCTCAATCCCCAGGGACTAATGATACTTAACCAGGTTGACATGAAGAACCAGGAAGATGCTCTATGGAAGTGGCTGTCGGGGTTGGTGTGCACTGTTAGAAATTACCATCACCATCAACAACATCGTCACTCTCCACACCAATCTTAAGAAATGAAAACTGTTAATATTCTCACTTTGCAGATGAGGAAACTGGGGAGCAGAGAAGGTGAGCAACTTCTTTAAGGTCACACAGTAAGCAAGTCATGGAGCTAGATTTCAAGCCAAGATCTCCGGATCTCCAGACCCAAGCATTTAACCTTTCTCCCTTCTTTTCCTGACAAGAGGAGAGTAGGATGGAATAGCAATTATTATCCTGAGAGCCACTGGGTAACAGAGCTGGCCAAGGCTCTGAATGAAGTGTGTCCTGCCCATCCATGGTGGCAATCCAAGACCAACCTTATGAGGGAATAAGATCAGACCGCAGCCTTCCTGAGCATCAGCAAGGAAGGGCCCCCAGTGTAGACGCGAGGCCTACCAGAGAGGAGGGCTCTTACTCCAGTGGGGTGGTGAGGTGACTTTTATTGTGGTGGGTAGATCTTCACCCAGATGCTCTGCTTCTCCTCCATCACAGCTCTGAGGTCATGGAATGATAACGCCTGCAGCCGGAAGTTCCCTTTTGTCTGCAAGATCCCACCTCTGAGCGTTAACTGATGCACCGTTGGCCCCAGCATCACCGAGTAGCTGTACCTACTATAAAGCTGAAGCTGAATAGATGCAAAATGCCACCAGAGGTAAATCTTAACGAGATTTCAAACAAACAAGCCTTAATTATTCAGGGTGGCCACTTGGCCAAGTGACAGAGACCCAAATGGAACTAGCTCAATAAACAAAAAGCGGTGGTGGATGTACTGGTGCAAGCCGAGGGGTGGTTCTGGACTCAGGCTTGAATCTCATTGGCTGGGTGCAGCCTCCTGCCCGCCCCGAAGCCTCACTTGGCAAAGCTGATTGGCTGGGCCCTGCTGAGACGCACAGAACAGGGCCGAGGGGGCGGAGTTGACCGCATCCGAGGGGTTGAGTGGGGGGATAAGCAGATGCTGGGTGAAGGGCACGAGCTTTCGGTAATGAGATGGACAAGTCCTGGAAATCTAGTGGATGACACAGTGACTGCACCTCGTAATATCACGTGGTCTTTTGAAATTTGCTAAGGGCAGAGATATTAAGGATTCTCTCCAAAAACCAAAAGGTCAATGTGTGTGATGATTGACAGGTGAATTAGCTTGACTGCGGCATGGTTCACAGTGTATATTTATATCAAAGCATTGAATTACACATTTCTATGGAGGGTTGGTCCCAGGATCCCGTGCAGATACCACAATCTGATGCTCCCCGATTCCCTGTCATAGAAGGGTGTGACATTTGCATAGAACCTTCGCACGGTCGCCCATGTACTTTGAATCATCTCAAGATTACTTATAATAACTAATGCAAGGGAAATGTCATTGTGTTGACATGTAGACAGTTGTTCTCTGTATTATTTAGGGAATAATGACAAGAAAAATAAGTCTGCATGGCTGGTACAAAGCATTTTTTTTTCTTTCATATTTACAATCTGCTGTGGGTTGAATCCACAGATGTGGCACCTACAGAGAGGGAAGGATGATTGTAGATACAAGGCTTGCCAATTTTACCTCAATAAAATAGATTAATTAACTGTGTGTGTGTGTGTGTGCGCGAATCTACATTTTTTTTTTCTGAACCAGATAGGTCCAAAGAGGAGATTCGTTCTGTGAAGGAAAACAAAAATATCACCAGACTCATATATTGCTGGTGAGAATGGAAAATGGCAAAGCTTCTGTGGAATCATTTGTCATTCCCTTAAAAACTCAAAACATAGAACTCCCACCTGACCCAGCAAGTCTGCGCCTAGGTCCATACCCAGGAGAATTAAAACAGGTATTCAAACATGAGTGACCATAGGGTTGGGGCGGTAGCTCAGTGGTAGAGTGCTTGCCTAGCAAGTATGAGGTACTGAGTTCAATCCTCAGCACCACATATTTAAAACTTAAATCAATTAATTAATTAATTAAAGGCATTTTGAAAAAAAAAAATCCTTTAAAAAAAACATGAATGGCCATAGCAACATCATGTATAACAGCAAAAGAAAAATAGAAAACAACCCCAATGTCCATCAACAGATGAATGAGTAAACAAAATGTGGTATGTCCATATAATGGAATATTACTTAGGCATGAAAAGGAATGGAGAACTGAGCCATACAATAACCGGAATGAACTTTGAAAGCATTGTGTTGCCAGTTACAAAAGATCATATGGTGTATGATTCCATAACAGTTATGAGTCACATAATGAAGTTCTAGTCAAGATGGATGGCATGCATGATGGCAGCCCCATAAGGGTATATTGTCACCAGGCACAGTGGCATACACTGATGATCCCGGCTACTCAGGCTGAGGTTGAAGCTGAGGCAAGAGGATCACAAGTTCCAGGCCAGAGTCAGCAACTTAGGGAAACCTGTCTCAAAAGGAAAGGGGCTGGGAGTGTGGCTCAGTAGCAAAAGGTCTCGGATTCAATTCCCGGCACCACACATAACACAAAAACCGTCCATTGCTTAGTGACTCGGTGGCCTCCTGGTTTGTGTAAGGACACTCTACAATGTTTGCACATTGATGAAATCACCCAGTGACACATTTCCCAGAATGTGTCGTTCAGCTCCATGCAGCTCTGTGTGAAATGTCGGGAAGCCGCCCGACTGTGAAGGGCAGGATGAGAAGTGACTGTTGACAGACGCGGGGCTTCTTCTTGAGGTGACAAAAATGTTCTGCAAATAGTGTCATGGTGCTGGCTGTGCGACTGTGTGTGTGTCAGAAGTGGCTGAGTTCTCCATTTTTTAAGTGGTTACAACGATGAATTTTACATGATAGAAATCTTAGTTCAATTTTTAAAAATTTGACCAGAAGGAAGGGATCCATGCCAGGTGGAAAAGCAAGAAATATTCATTAATAGGAAGAACATTAGACAGGGAGGCAGGAGGTCTGGGTTCTATTTTAGATCCCCTGAGCCTTGTTTAGGCTTTGGGGTAGACCAAGGAAACTAAAAATCGGAGACCTTGGGTACCGGGAGAACAAAGCATGCAAAAACACATCAATGAATATTTAGTAAATCGAGCTGCTTTGCAGATTTTGCAAGAGGAGGCTTCTAAAAAGGATATTAAGATGGGACTTTCTTATTGCTTTAGAATTGACCCTGGGAGTCTACCATTGAAAACAACAGGTGCGGAAATTGAGACTGGATGAGTGGACTTTGAATCACTATAATGAAATGCCTGAGGCAGTCAACTTATAAATAAAAATGGTTTACTTTGGCTCACGGTTCTGGAGTTACAGGCTGAAATGGATCAGCCTCTGGTGGGGGCACAGGGAGTCCCAGGTGAAGGGGACTCCATCTCTCTACCTCCAACCTCAAGTCAGCAGAGCTCTGAGAAATTGCTGCAGCTTAGGAGGCAAGAAAGAGAGGCTGGCCTCCTGTGCTGGATGCTGGCTCTACTGGAAAACTGCTGCCCACCTCTGCTTCTCCACTAAAACAAACAAAAAAATGGGTCAAGGACTTCTGCCTTCATCCTTGGGAATTTGGGGGTGCTGGAGAAGAAGACCCTTTCTACTATCTTCTATATTCTTTGGTGGGGACCTATGAATTAAAAGATCAAAAGGAAAAAAGGCACAAGAATTTTTATTTGAAGACAGAGTCTTGCTCAGTTGCCAGGCTGCAGTTTTCCTCTCTGTGCCCCCCAGGTGCCTGGGGTTATGGATATGTGCCCAGCAGAAGGATGTGAGTGAGACTGGGGGACTTATATACCATCATAACAGAGGGCGATAAACTCTGGAGAAGTGACAGAGGAGAAGGGGGTGGGTTGTTTCTAGGGCCAGTAACTTGTGGGAAGGTGAAACATAAGGTGGGTGGGGGTTGTTTGGTAAGATTAAATGAGATGTTACCCAGAAAGGAGCCCCGCGTCAGGGGTCATTACTACCAGTAATGGAAGTCATAATGGGCTCCTCCGTGGGGTTCCCCGGCTTCTCTTAGCAAGCAGCTGAGGATGTGGAGAAGCCATTTCCCATCCCGTGGCTCAGCCGCCTTCTTCCACGGGGGGCAGACAGTCCGCGATTCAGCTCCTTGCACTACATGGTCTCCGTGGCTGCTGCTGAACTCGGCCATGGCTGGGGGGGAAGCAATCACAGACACCGCGAACGTGGCCATGTGACCCAAGAAAATTGGGTGGGACACTAGAATCTGCATTTCACAGTCAGGTCACATGTTGCCACCTGTCAAACTGATTCTTAACTCCCAGGCCCTATGAGAGCAGGTGGGGGGCCAAGGGTGGTTGCAGTTTGCCCTCTGACCTCTAGGGTTCACGTTTCAGAGAGGGAAGGCGGGGGTGACGTTCACACGGGAAGAACTTCCCAGGCATCGTCCCACACCTAACACGATGTGGGACCTCAGGAGCCCGGAAGGCCCCCTGCCTCTCTGTCTGCCCAGTGGGTCTGCTCCCTGAGCCCTCCAGACGGGTGTGGGAGCCAGGAGAACCCGTGGGCAGGCCGGTGCTCACTGTAGGCCCCAGTGATAGCTGGCATTTGTCAGGCGCTTCCCGGGTGCCAACGTGATGCTTGGCGTCTTGACACAAGCCACCTCCTTGGGTAGGAATAGGGATTGTCACTGAGCCCATTTTACAGGTGAGAAAACCCAGAGTCGGGAGGGCTGAGCAGGGTCCCAACAGCTAGTTGAGCAGCCAAGCCAAGAGGCGGGACTGAAACCCAAGGTTCTCTGACCCCAAAGCCCAGGTGTGAGGTTTCTAGACGGTCTTGGTTGGGGGACAGAGGGGATCCTCCAAAGAGATGTGGAAACAGTTGAATTAAAGAGTGTTTTCCAAGTCGTGAGCAGAGTTAAGGCAGCTGATGGAGGTCAGTGAAGATTTCCGGAACCAAAAGGGCAGAAAGATCGCCCCCCCCCCTTGGCTGGATGGTGCAAGGGAAGAGAGTTGCCACCAAGAGCAGGGTCCCCAGGGCAGCCATGGTCCACCCACGGCCCAGACGCCCATCTCTCCTCCTTCCAATCTCCTCTCCGACCAGGTCTGCAGCCTCAGAAGCTTCAGAGGGGCCTGGGGGGGGGGTTGACATCTTTGGGGACACCACCCTGATGGCCCCATCCCATGCGTCAGGGTCCTAACCTTGGCATAAAAAGCCTCTGCTTTGGCTGGAAGCTTAACTCCCTCCTGGGCGCCCTGTTCTCTCTCTGGGCAGCACCAGGGCCTTTTAGCCATGGCTGTCCCATCCAGTCACCCGGATGCCACCCTTCTCTCTGTTCATCTCAGCTGCTGATACACGGCTCCCCTGGACCTCTCCGCCTGCCGGGTAGCCCTCCAGGTCACCCAGGGAAGGTCTCAGCACTGGGCCCCCACCTTGTGCCCAGGGTGGGGCTGTGTCTATCCCACACATCACCAGGGCTGTCAGTGGGACAGCTACGGACCCCCTCCCCACCTTCTCACCTGTGTCTTCATCTGCTCCCGGGATCGGGGGTTCCTGAGCCGGAAGCAGCTACTGAGACTGAGTTTTGAGGACAAGACGTTTATTAGGGACCCGTATCTGCGGAAGGAAGGCAGAGGAAGGTGCGGAAACGAGAAGCTGCCTGAGAAATTCTCAGCCAACCCGGCAGGTTCTGGGCCATCAGAGTGGATGACGTGCGTGGAGCTGAGACGTTCAGGCCTTTAGACCTGAGTGTCACTGAGACACCCAAGCGGGCTTACCTAGAAAGGACGCTCCTGCAGTTAAGGTAGCTCTCTGCGGCTGAGGCTGATCCTGAAGGAGTTGACAGCCGGAGACCCTCTGCCCCTCCTGCCACGTCATCACATATGGAATCAAAAGGGAATGGGTTCAGATCCCACCACTGCCACTTACTGTGTGACTTCTCGGGAGTGACTGAACTTCTCTGTTTCAGTTTTCTCAGTAAAACGAAGACAGAGCCACGTCCAGCTCTGACTCTGAGTTATCAAGTAACAGTGGGGAATGAGGAGTTCTGGATAGGTGACGTTTACCAGAAAACTAAAATATATTTCTCCAGGGCCACAACTATCTCTATTTTCCCACTTGAGATGGAAATCTTTCTGAACCCCCTTACACATCTCCCCGCATCCTCAAGCAGAACTCGAGACTTCGCCCTTTCTTCATGACTCCAGGTCACAGGGGCTGCATCTACTTCAGGGTGGTTTTGTTTTTCCTTGTCTCCTGTCATATCTGAGTGCCGCAGTGCCAGCCTCTGACAGCCCACAGATTGCCCGACCTTTCCCGGGTTGTTACTGCAGAGATGCTGTAGGCGGGAAAGGCGGTCCTGCCTGAGAATAATCAGCGAGAGAGAGGGGGAGGGAGAGAGGCAGGGAGGGAGAGAGGCAGGGAGGGAGAGTCGGTGGCGTGATCAACGGTAAGCAACAGACAACGGACAGATGGATATGAGAGAAAGATATTGTTAGGTATAGAGAGATAACAGACTATGACGTCATGGCCGTATGATGACTACCATCTGCACAGGTCTATGTATTTGGGTATTAACTACAGACAGGTAAGCAGGTGGATATCCCGTCTCCCCACTTAGGGAAGACAGATGGACAGGCAG